TCCTCGCGGCTCCTCGGCGCTCCTCGCGGCTCCACCGCTCCCCGGTTTTTACCGACCCCGACAGCGTGCGCAATGCAAAGTTCCCAGGCCCACGAAAGAACGTCCGTAACTCCTGGCCATGTGCAACAAGCTTCAGTTCCAGCAGTGGAAATGTGCTCCGAGATGTCCGATGCGGGGATCATCACCTGTGCCGCGGAGACACAGTAGTTCGGCACGAAGGCGCACCTTCCAGGGACAACGAGAATGATCCTTCTTCGGATGTTCTGCTGGTTGAACTGATGCCAAGACTGTCGAGGCACTTGAGGTACTGCTGTGTCTCGGGGTCATTGTTGATCACCTGTCAAATCGGCGTTTCAAATCCGGTCAGCTTCTTTTCTTTCTCGTAGCTTTTCAATCGAGGTTTGTTTCTTTCGTATCCGTCCTCTTTATTCTTTTCTCTGGCCCCCTTTCCGCGAAGAACCCCTTGCGCTCATGTTGTGGCCCAGGCGTCAAGCGCCGCTCTTAGTCGGACCTCGAGGTTGAAGATGGTTGAAGTCTCGGCGCTGGACGTCGGTGCAAGAAAACACGGAGGTAACGCTTGTCGCGCGAATCTGGAGGTGAGAATCCAGTGGCGGTGAACCATGCCAAATCCAACACCAAATTCCGGCGAGTCTAGTCAAGCAAGGCTGCCAACACAGCGATTCCAGCTTTTTCTCCACCGGTTCCTTCTCTCTGACTCTCTGTCACTCTCTCTCTCTCTCCCTCTTTCTACTCTCTCCTGTCTCTGTCTCTTTGTCTCTCTCCCAATCCGATACTTTCGGTGTGTGAAGCAGCGTTGCTTGACCCAAGTGAATGCTGTGGCTTCTCCTGCTTCCAAGGGTGATTTGCAGATGGCCACTCGAGCTACCTGTAGCAGGTCTTCGCGGGCCACTGGATCTTAGACTTGAGCGCGCGGTCAATGAGCAAGAATAAAATCGGCTTTGACATCGGCTTCGTGGCTTTGTCTCCCCCATCTCCTTTCCTTGGTACGTGTCCGTCCTCGTAGGACCAGTACATGGAACATTGTGTTTCTAGGCTCTGTTTCCTCTCCCTCTCCCTCCAGCTCCACCTCCACCTCCCCGTGATTTCCGACTGTTTTTGCCGCACCGCTGTGGAAACGGTGGCCAGCCTTTGCCACGTTGTTGATGAGCTTGATAATGATCTTCGCATTGACATATGCCGAAGCGGCCTACAGTGTGTCGAAGAGGAGGGACAGGAAAGTTGAGCGAGTTGACGCGCAGCACACAAGCTCGTTGCACAAGCGAAAGCGTGCCTTCCCGCCAATCAGGACCACACGCTTCTGGGCGGCAGCACGTTCACCCGGAGACTTCTTCTTCAGGTCCAGGTAGCGGTGGATGACGAAACTGCAGGGCAAATGAGCGTAAGTTCGGCATCGTCGACAAAAAGGACGACAGCGTCCAGACCGTAGGTCACAGTGCTATCAAGAAGCAGGATGTTCATCAGCTGCCTCTTGTACTCGTGAATTCGTTTGATCCTTGGCTTCCGCGCGGGCGGTGAAATGCAGAACCCCAGCTAGGCAGCTAGTAGAGCGCAGCTCAAGGATGCCAAGAGTCTGGATGTCAATCAAAGCATCTTGGTCGATGTCCAGATTCATCGTTGATTTCAGCCAATCAACCAATTTGGCCTTGCAGCCGCTCTTCATGGCCATCCACCTCAACAAGCTCTTGAAGCAGGAGCCAACCCGGAAGATGAAATGTGAGTAAGTCGTCGGCTCGTCGTGCAACTTGCTGTCGTCTTTGTAGTCCAGCATGCCCTTTGCACGTGGTCCACTGGTTCAGAGCTGATCCGCAGATATCCAGCCTTCAGCTTCGTCATGTCGGTAAGCCACTCCTGTGAACCTCAATACAAGCCACGTAAGGCAAGAAGGAGACACTCTCTCCTCTTGCACCGAATTTCCGCCGAGCTGCCGAGGTATTTGGTGAAGATCTCGCTGAGCGCCGGGTTCGCGCAGTGGATCCAGCGCCGCGGCGTCACGCCGTTGGTCATGTTCACCTGTACAGCAGGGGCAAAGGCTTTTGTCGGCACCGACCACAACAAGCCAAGAAGCAATCTTGTCATGCTCCCCGTTGTCGCAACACCACTTGTAGAACTCAGGGAAGGTTTCCTGAACGCCAGGCTTTTTACGAATCTACTCGGACGAGTCCTGCAGAGACGGACTCCTTTTTGATGATCTCGGTGTGGAGAGCTGCGACTCCGTTGATCTTGTTGGAGCCGATGATGGCGAGGTGGCCCATGCGGATCTTCTTGATGTCACCTTCCTCTACGATGCTCAAAGCCGCGATGATAGGCCCATCACCCCACCTGCAAATCAGTGCGGCTTCATGATTCCCACAACCGAACCAAAACGAGCAGCTTCCACGTGCTACCAGCCTTTGCAGCAGCTTCTGGATCCAGATGCCGTTGATGTGATAAATGATTTGCAGGTGCCGCGGAAGCATCCGCTCCATCATCTCAACCGGCCATTTCTCCAGAGCCTGGGTCGCAAAGCCAAACGATCTGTGGAGTGCTGTCGATCCAAAACTGAGCTTTCATCGGTTGCAGGCCTCCGGCATGACAGTGTGGTTGGTATAGTTCAAGCACTTCCTGCTCACAGGACTGCAGCATACCGCGTCCCAGCAAAGCCCTGGCCATGCTCCAGTGAAACTACGAGCGCCTGGTCAATTCCCATGCTCTGTCCCAATCCAGCTGTTGCACATCCACCTTAGACGGTAGTCACCAAGCTGACACTAGCCGGCTTCTTCAGCCGGCCATAGATGCTTTACATATAGATTCGCTCTCCAATTTGAACGATGACCATAACTGTCTGGGTTTGTTGAATGAAGCCGACAATAGGGAGCTGTGGAATCTCGCGAGCAAAGGGGCCAAAAGGCGCATGAACTCTGCAACAGCAATGGTGGGATGTGTGTCGTTCATCTGCACGGCAACCTGGCTGCAGCCCGGTGTTCGCCAACCGTACCACTGAAGCGTAAGAAGCAAAGACATGCATACCCGTGCAGTGCCTTTTGCGGCAGGTCTTCCCACTGATAATTTGGTCGCTTGATGAATTCGCGCAACAAATCCTGACATCTCACTACGGCGAGATGTGATCGTGAGCCGCAGCTTCGCAAGCATGTCAATGTGCCCAAATCGATTCACACCGTGCAAGCGGTCCTGCAGAGACGCGCTCACGAAGAAGTACTGCTGGCGAAGGCGAAGCTCCCTTCCAGCATACGTTGCATCCTCGAAGACAAGGGGTAAACAGCAAAATGCAGATGTGTCGCTGGTTCACCCAACCTCACAGCCTGAAACCAAAGGCTGCTAAAAGCTGCACTGGCACGTTCGGGTAGAGCACGGCAGACAGATCTTCCGCTTTGCGCCGCTGTGTGATCGCATCTTGAAACTGTGCGCTGCTGAAGGCATCCAAGTCGAACTCCTTCACTGCTGGATCAATCTCTCTCTTTGATTCGCTGGGTGAGAGGGAAACGGAATTCGGGGAACCACCCTCTGTCCGCGCTCTGTCTCTCTCTCTCTCTCTCTCTCTCTCTCTCTCTCGTCATCGAAGATCCTTTACGGATTTTCATTCTTGGCTGAACATGTACTACTAGCAGAAATCATCCGAGTCGTGACTGTCCGAAGCATGTTTGAAGCCCGTCCTCGCTAGGACAAGCTCGCCAAAGTCGCAGGTTGTTTGTGTTGTAGGTGTCCTTGGCTTCGGAAACGTGTGTAGCCGCACTGAGACCAGTCTTTCAACTCTCTTCCTCCAACGGCGAGCATCAAAGCCCGGAATGGGATTATCATACGCCATTGCCTGTACGATCTCGCCCCCGACCCACCTACCACAAAGGCAGCATGTGTTGTGCTGAAAGACCTCACGCTGAAGAATGGAGGCTTCTGAGTCGCATGGGCCTTGATACGCTTCTGCCGTTCTCGTAAACCTCTTCCACTCTGCCATAGAAGCGCACAGGATACGTGACATCCGGACGAGGGATCTCAAAGGGGCAGCCGTCACCTCGCGAGTCTTGCGACCGCTTCTGAAACTCACGGAAGGACATGAAACATCGACTCTGGGCTTCCCGGCCGATCCAGAAATCGGGCTCTTCAATTTGCCGGCCATCCCTGGGAAGGAGCAGGGAACGTGCTACACTAATTGGGCCCGGCACCCAGAAATACGAAGGCACCACAGCCAAAGCACTTGATGCCCTGCTTGAACATTCCGTAGCTATAACGGATGCCATAGCCCCAGCATGGAAGCGACCTCGACCCGTTGAAAAGCGTCCGTCTAGCAACTGCGACGCCTACTCTGCAACGCCTACAACTCTGACATGTTGCAACTCTTGACTTTCAGATGAGCTGCAGGGTCGCCATAGAATCCAGGAAGCAGGCCGCCAAGCGGCCCAGTCCTCCATTTCCCAGTGCAGGATCTGCTTCTTCGCTAAACAACTCCTGCCAAGCGCGAGCATGGGCGAGCCATGGCGAGCCGAACGCAGCCAACTCTATGGCGCAGCCACGCCTCGAGCTTCATCCCCAAGTCTTCAAAGGCATCCTGCAAGAGGGCTGCAGGACCCTAGGACCGTGGGGACACCCCCTGTATCATAATGCTCTGCAGAAGCTGGTCCTTGAAAGGCTGCTCCAAGTCCAGATTGGCAATTGCATTTTGCATGTGACGGCCAATCAAGTACTCGGCCGACAAGTAATACCCCCTGCAACGGTGGCGTCGGCGATTGTTACACTGTGCAAATCGAGCTGGCATGCCTTTTCACGTCCTGCTCCCGGTAATAGGTGTTGGTGTCGTTAAGGGACTCGAGCAAGCGATCACGAAGAACAAGGCCAGCTGCACGGTAGGCATCCTGGAAATCACTTCATCCACGATCCGTTTGCACTGGTGTTTCATGCCCTCCCATTCTGAAAACTCAAGGCCTGCATGGTGAAGTTGAACCGCGTGCATGCGAGAGAATACTCCAGATGCCGGGCAAAAGATTTTTGGATCGACTCGGGGTCGTTCGGCTCCTTGGATTGGTCTCTGCTGAAGTCAAGAAGAAGGCTGCAGGGCAGGAAAAAGGGTGCAAGCCTGGAATGCGGGAACCTGCAGACATTGCACAAATGCACATGTCAAGACGACGAACTCTATCTGTGATACCGTGGCCCTGTGTTTGCGAGGGCAGCCTGTTACAACATGGCATCAAGATAAGAACCGGGAATCGTAGTATGCCATGAGCTGCTGAAGCTTCTCCATGCGTCCACCGTCTTCCTTAGTTGAAGCATGCTCAGGCAGGGAGGAGCTCTACTCGAGGGACCGAAGTAACAGCACGGCAAGCCAGCCGACTGTGGCTGCCCACAAGGCCTTTCAACTCAGCGTCTTGTCCTTCCACATGAGGAGCTGGACGGTGTGCGGTGGTATCGAGTAATGAGAAGGAAGACTTGCGCTTCATTTCGAAGCCTAGCCAAGCTTTGCAGACAAACTCTTGTTGTTCCGACCAGTCACACTCACAACAAGTGTATATGCGAAACCGCCGCGCTGGGACCTGATTGCACGCATGTAAACCGCCCAAGACCAGCCTGCTTTGTCTGCAGACCATACACCGGTGGTCGTCATGGCAAGGTTCGTCGGCAAACCAGGAGCGGTTATGGCACGGGCACAGAGCTGAGCTGGAAAATATGCTGCCTCGCACCTGTGACATGTACAGTCTTGGCAAATTGCTCCTGCGGATAACATAGATGCACGACATAACATTGCAAGAATTAGCATGCCCACCCACGGCGACACACATTCAAATTTGCGACAAGGAATGGAACACTTTCATGCAATTTTGACATGGGGGCTTCACACATCGAGAAAGAACCAACAGTGCAAATGGCGCATTCTGCGCATTCCTACCTATGCCACGCTTGACAGGGCCGTCTCATCATCTAGCCGTGACCATGCGAAGAGGGGCCGTTGCATTTAGCGCCACCATGTCTGGAGTTAGCATGGGTTCAGTATTCCACAAATGGCGAATGAGCACGAGAGACCCTTGAGGTTCCTACATGAGTATCTCATTCGTGGATGACGCCCGCTTTGGCTCGGTCGGAGTTGGTGGCTAACAAAGTTTCATGACTGGCGGGCACAGCATGCTTCACAGTTGCCACTATCTGATCATTCCCAGCTCTTCGTCCTCATCTTTTCAATCTTGATGAAACTGAACATGCTGGGAGTAGTCGAGCTTCTCTGGAAAGATCAGAAGTCAGCGCAGTGCTCGCTTTGAGCATTTCAAAGACAAACACAACAGAAGCCCACAGAGCGCAGGCACAGCGTTCGTCGCCTCAACATAATGCTAGCAGTGCCGACCTGACCACGCACGATCACGACTGACAATGGCTGGCCAATGATCTTACAACCGAAAGGCCTCTTTTCAAAGGAATTTTCGAAGGACTTTCAGCATTGATATCACCGATTCATTGCAGCCCTTGCAGAACCCGCCCGGAAAAACACAGGGCGGTAATGTGATGTGTGATCAAGTATTTCAAACCATCGGTCACCAATCAAGGCTGCGCTCGACAACAGAACCATACATGCCGATTCTCTAGGTTGGTACGATATGGCAA